AAGGAAGGAATATTACTGAAAATGTTCTTTTGGCTCAAGAGATGCTTCTGGATTTAGATAAAACATGTTGAGGTGGCAACATAGTATACAAGCTAGACTTGAGGAAGGCATATGACACTATCAGGTGGGATTTCATTGCTAACATACTGATGGTCAAAGGTTTTCCAGCTGATTTCTACAATTTGATAACGAGCTGGCTTGCTAACAATGTAAATTCTCTCCTGATAAATGGTAAAATTCATGTATTTTTTAAATCCACTACACGTATTAAGCAGGGTGACCTGTTATCTCCAATAAAATTCATCTTGGCTTTTGACTCTCTCAAGAATGCTGAATCAAATTTACAGTCTCCCCCCACATTGGCTAAAGTCACAGATCTAATCTCAGTATAAGTCACTTATCATATGTAGATGATGTGATTCTCTTTCCTAAGAAACCCAAACCACCTGTCAGAAATATTTACAAATGTCTGATGGCATTTTAGAAAAGGTCAAAGATGTGCTTTAACTAGAGCAAATGTAATATTCTGTTTAACAAGAGGCTTAAAGCTCAGACCAAACACTAGATCATTGAATTTACTGGTTTCAACACTAACTCTATTCCTATTAAGTACTTGGTTGTGCAACTGATCAAAGGTAGAACTAGACAAACACAATATGTTGCAGTTATTGAAAAAGTCAATGACCAACTAAATTGATGGACATCCTCTTTTTTATCCAATGGAGAAAGAATCACATTGTTGAAAAGCATCTTAATTGCATTCCCCTCTTACATTATGCAATGAAAAAAATGAAAAAGAGCACTTAAACTAGTTTTAGAAAGGAGTTTTAATAAATTTCTGTGGGTTGGACAAAGGAAGCAGGTGCATTGGGTAAACTGCCAAAAGGTGTACAAACCAATTACTGCAGGGGGCTGGGCTTTAAAGGCTTTCAACATCTCAACACCGTCAACTTTTGTAAACTTTGGATCAGAATTAGACAGTAGGAATTTATTGTTGTGGTTGCGAGATCTAGATATACCAGTTGATGTGGTATATATATAAATCAAATAGGAGAACAATCGACGAAGTAAAAAATAGAACAAGAAAAATCACACCAGAAAAGAACAACACAACGGAACACACAGATTTAAGTGGTTCGGCAAATTGCCTACGTCCACGGAGTTGCAGAAGAGTTTACTACTTAAGGAATTTGCATCAGTCGATCACCTCGACTTACAAGAGGAATCTCTCACTCTCACTTCGTTGCTCTCTCTTCTTCTCTCTTTGTTCTTCTCTCTCTACACCGAGATACACCGAAGAAACTCTACACCGAGATACACCAAAGAAGACAAACTTACAAGAGAAATAAACACAATTTCTCTTCTGTCACAACCCACCAAGAAGAAACCTAGAGAGAGCAATAATTTTTTTCTTCCTTCTGCGGCAAAGGAACTGCTCCTCCTCGCACTTCTTTTCCTCTGCCCCGAGGAAACCTTCCTCTATCCAGAGGAAACCGAAGAAGAACTCAAAGCGTGACTACAGAACCCAAGGAGAGCCATCCGAAGACTTTTATCACGAACAGCAGGAAGCGAAGAGATGCTTCACTTCACGATTGGACGACTCTTCGCGAACGAGAGCGGAATCGCGACAGCAGGGATCACGACGCTTTGCAATCGGGAACAGGGAGCGGGAAGGCGTTGTTCACGATCGGGAGTAGGCACAGACCACAGGCTGCAACATCTCCTTCCTCAAACTGATATCCTCCACTAGAGGTGTCGTATTTTTCTTCAACATGTATCCTCCACCTTGAATCCTCCAACTTGATCTATATGGGCCAAATTTATGTGGGGCAAATACTATAAGGCTGCACACCCAACCACTGTTATCAAGAAAATTCAGGACTCCAAAATTTGGACTAATTTGCTGCAAGTCAGAACCCAGGCTGAAGAGCTCTTCATATAAGAGTTGGTAGAAGGACAATTTAACTTTTGGTTAGACTCTTCGACTTTAGATGGAAATCTGAGAAAACACCTACAAGATACATTTAATCTGAACCTCAAGGTTATTAAATGCTGGGAGGATGACAAGTGGTGTTGTAGGATCTTAAACAGTCTTCTAGATTCTGAACAAGTGAAGCACATTGTGAATGTACCTTTTTACTGTTGCAAGAGGGACAAAATTATTACTAAAAAAGCTAATTCACAAAGCATATCCTCATACATATATCATTTGATCTATAATTAGGGAAGTATTGCTTGGGGTAAGTCTGTCTGGTGTAAATTCCTTACACCTTCCATGTCCTTCCTCTATTGGAGATTATTTATTAACCTGTTCCCCACTGATGATATTCTCAAACTTAATGGGCTGAAGGGCCCTTCTTGTTGTTATCTCTGTAAATTGAAGGAAGAGACTTTGGATCATCTGTTCTTTAACTGCTCTTATGCTCAAGAGGTGTGGAAATCATTGACTGAAAAACTCTCTATTAATACCCTAAACTTAAACTAGCACGCTTTTTAGAAATGTTGGGCTAACTGGCAGGCTGCATGATACATCAAAAATATTTGCATTTTTAGACCAATATTTTATACCTATTTTTGATGATATTGCACTTTAATGGAAGGTATTTTGATGTTTTCTTGCAGGTTATTAATTTTTAGGGCTTAAAGCAAAAAAAAAAACAAAAAGGATGAAATTTGGAGTCAAAATAATGTTTTTGAAGAAATGCTCAGTGCGAGCAGCGCCGAGAGCAACCCCGACGGCACAGGACAAATTAACGCGGAGATTTTTTACTCAGCGCCAAAGGCGGTTCAGGCCCCGTTTCTAGAAGGTTCGATGTATTTGGACGATTTTTGAAGATTTTTTGGAGGCACATCTTAGAGAACCGACCTTGGGCTCTATTTAGGGCGGAATTTCATCAGAAAATGGGCTCCTCTACGTTTTTCAGTCCTCTACTTTCATTTTTAGCATCACATTATTTCATTCCACTTCCATATTGGAGTCAATTAGTGATTTTGTTTTCATAGTTTAGAGTTTTTGTGGTGAGATTTAGTTTGAAACTTGTTGTAAGAGTGTTGGAGAAGGAGAAAAGTGAGAGATAATTTCTTCCTGCATTTCTAAGGAAAGGCTACAAAAGATTTTCTTTGAGAAAAAGTTTTCAGATAAGTATTGTTTGTTTATTAGTGTTGTATGAACTTTCTTTTATATATGAAATTTGTGTTTTGTTATTTCTTTCTCATGAAG